TTCTGCTGTGCATGGGGTCGCTATGAGTTGGTTCCAACTTGATGACACCTGACAACAACAACAACAACAACTAGGAAGACCAGTGAATACCACTATTATTCAAATTTACGCACCAACCACTAAGGCCAGTGATGATGAAATTGAATTCTACAAACTTCTTCAGTCTGAAATTGATCAAACATGCAATTAAGATTTATTGGTAATTACTGGTGATTGGAATACGAAGGTTGAAAACAAAGAGGATAATCAGTAGTTGGAAAATATAATTTTGGTGATAGAAATGATGCTGGAGATCACATGATAAATTTTGCATTAGATTTCTTTAAAGTGTTCAAGAGCAAAGATAGCAGTTTGAGGACTAAAGTGAGCCTGACCCAAGTCATGGTATTTTCAGTAGCCTCATATGCATGGGAAAGTTGGACAATGAATAAGGAAAGCCATAGAAGAATTGATACATTTGAGATATGGTGTTGGAGAAGAATACTGAAAGGACCATCAACTACCAGAACAAGAAACACATGTGTGTTGGAAGATGTTCAGCCAGAATGCTCCTTAGAGGCCAGATGGCAAGACTTTCTCTCTCATACTTCAGACATGCTATATCAGGAGGGACCAGTCCCTGGAGAAGGACATCATGCTTGGAAAAGTGGAGGGTCAGAGAAAAGAGTAAGACTTCCTCCAATGAGATGGACTGGCACAGTGGCAGCACCAATGGGCTCAAGCGTAACAACAGCTGTGAGCACAGCACAGGTCGGGGCACAGTATTTCATTCTGTTGTGCATAGGGTTGCTATGAGTCAGAACTGAGTAGACTGCACCTAGCAACAGCATGCATCAGGCCTAGCATGTCATTAACTTATTTATTCTACTGTAATATTTTTATGTATGACAAACTCTTTCCTTTACTGTACATACCCAGCTTTTCAAACATCTTTTGAATTGGGACTTCATTGGCATCCACCATAACACGCTTTTCATCTAGCATTAAGACATTCATGGAAAGCCATTTGGATGACATCCAGAGTGGGTGATCTAAAAAGTAATAACTAACATATCACATCTGTTTATACCATTTTGTTTAAAGTAAGAATTCACAAGTGGAAAATAAAGTAGCAATCTCATTCTTTCAATAATTTACATTCTCTGTGAACGCTAACTTTAATCTTAAGACAAATTTATCTGTAAATGTTATGGATCAATCCATACTCATTACAATTCGGATTTCACCATGTTTTCTTTAAAAAGTCATTTCTTGCTTTAAGTGATGTTGTCTTGTACTTATAGCCCCTTTTATTCTCACTTTCCTTTTCTATAGATGGAGAGGTTATGAATGCAAGTCCTGGCTTCCTTCTAGTCCCAAACACCACTTCTGATTGGGAAATTGTTTTCTCTAAATTCCTCAGTTTGGGACTGTTCCCAATAGGCAAAGGATGCTAGATTCTTAAAGTAATCATGTTAGTCTGTAAACATACCATCTGGGATGACTGGCATTGGAGGAGTAACGATGGTCCATCCAGCTTTCTTGAAAAGATCAATCTGCAACACACACACACATACACACAAACCAAAGATGCTTAAATCTATACACTAGCACAGAGTAGAACTGCCTCATAGGATTTCCAAGGCTGCATATTTTTATGGGAGCAGACTGTCATGTCTTTTTCCTGCAGAGTGGCTGGTGGATTGAACCAACGACCACTTTAGTTAGCAGCCGAATGCTTTAACTATTCCACCAGCAGGACTCTTTGCACTGAAATAACACTAAATAAGAACCATCTGCACCTGTTCCAACTTACCCACACATTCTTAAAGACTCAGGAAGAGATCTCGTTCATACCCCAGCTAATGCCTATACCTCAGATACTTTCCTAGAGAAACTCTCATTAAAGAAAATGAAGAGATTTTTCTCTTTAGTCATAAGAAGATTTAAAAATCTGACCGAGTCAAATTTATAGTTCATCCGCTTCCGTATGCTCACTGACTAGTCATTGTGAGTCTCTGACCGTGGCATAAAACAGTGTGCTCCCAAAGAACCATAATTGTCCTTAACGACAAATGACAACTCAGTCATCTACTTAGTAGATCAATAAATTATATTAAAATGAGTCAGTAACTGTGGTCATTGGCTCTAAAAATAAGGACCAGAAATGAAGTGACATGGTATAATAGTGTATACCTTTTAAAAGACGGACTGCAGCCTAGCAAATAACACAAAATAACTCACCGCCCAAATGGAAGGTAGGGGGCAGCAGGTGGAAGGAGGAGGCTGCAGGTGATGGGGAGAGACCAGCTGCAGTGCAGCTGCTCTGCTCCTCCCTGCAGGATGGGACTGGCCGAGGGGGCCCAACCCACTGGAGAGCAGAGAAGACACCTGTTGCCCAGTGGCATTGCTCCGGGCATGCAGGAATCATCTCTGCAACTTAGCTGCTGCTGCTGAACCGCTGCTGCAAGTTAGGACAAAATACCATTCTGTTTGATAAAAACACACACATGCACACAAACTTGAGGCTATGACAACAGAATGCAGCCAAAGTCAAAGTCTGAAGGCACTACAGTAATGATCATGTATATTTCTCAGTATTGGACTTCTTGTAGTAAACACACAACAAGTCATTCAATGATTGAGTATTATGATGTCGAACATTGCTGAATTTGTCATTTAGAAGCATACGGAAACCAGGAAAGTGTTTAACATTAAAGTGGCAATTGCTTCAGTTGCTAGACTCTCTTGCTTTTCCAGAGTCCTAAGGACTCTCTTACCTGGTGACATGGTCTGTCAGGGTTGGAGAGGACAAGACCAGGGCCAATGATGTTGAAGGTAGCATCAATATGCATTGGATTGGGATCTTTAAAGGAGATGATATGCACTCTGTAGTCTGGTGCAAGATGCCGACGCATCCATTCAATGCCCAGGTAGTTTGTAACCTGAAGATAAAAGAAAGACATGAAATATAAAAATGTGTCTCTATGTTTAGATAACGATAAATATTTTACTTAAAAAGTAAAAATACAGAAATATCGTGTGGAATTTCAGGGGCAACCCTTTTCAACCTGACTTCTCTGTACAAAAATATCTCTTCCAGCTCGAATGAAGTCAGCAGCATCGAAACATGGCTCGAATTCAGTCGTCACAAATTTTCCCTGAGCCGCCAATTTGTGTCTGTCTGCCACAGAATTGATGGGATAATCCTAATTGGAGCAAAAATAAATATCTAATGGATTGGTGTATAAGAAACTTATTTTATAATGCATTCATTACTACTAAGAAAATTAGTTCAAGTGTATCATTTCCCACAATATTACTACTCAGTTCTAAACTAAAACGTGTAGGAAAGAAACAAACCCACCAACAAAAATAAAACAACTAAGTATGCCAGCAATTCCATGATATTCAGAAGCAAGTGGTGTTTGGAAATCTTCCATGACCTATCCACTGAGCTATGTTGTTGTTGTTAACTGCTGTGGAGTCGGATCTGACTCACAGCGACCCTGTATGTAGCTATCTGCCATACTGAAAGTCAGCAGGTTGCAAACATTCTGTGCTCTTAGAAAAAGAATTTGGTCCTGAGCCTAATGCACCATAAAATGAGCTGTTATGTATTCCTTGCCAAATTTTATTTGGTGTGACAGAATGAACTCATTATTTATATCTGTGTATAAATCTCTAAAAGAAATTTTGAATTTTAATTCTTTCTGTAGATGATAAAAAAAAGTGATGTAATAAGGGACATAAACTTCCTTTTACTGTCAATTTTTTGATAGACCAAATTATTTTTCTAAATGAAGAGGGAAATAGATTTTAGCTTAGTCACTTGCCAGTTAAGGAGCTCTGGTAGTGTGGTGGTTACAAATCGGTCTGCGAACCTCAAGGTTAGTAGTTTGAAACTACCAGCTGTTCCCCAGGAGAAAGATGAGTCTTTCTTCTTCCATAAAGATTTACAGCCTTGAAAACCCTGTACAGGGTTGCTATGGGTCGGAACCGACTCCATGGCATATAACCACCACCACCACCAGTAAATAGCGGTGTGCCTTTAGGAAATATTCTTCCCTGTAATGGAATGATACTACTCTCTCACTGGGTTGGGAGGAATAAAGAGAGAGAAGGATGCAAATAGAGTAATCTAGAACCTTATACATGATAAGAACCAAGTACATATTAGTGGCTATTATTATCATTGCTATTGTTACTGTTTATACACAGCATGTTATATAAAGCAATTGTTTCCAGAGAAGTAGGTGATACTCTTAGTTTCTGGAATATTTAAGACAGACATGGTATCAAAAAAGAGAGAATCTTTATCTTCCCCTTTGTATATTATCTAAAAGATGTATCTTCAGAAAACTTATCATTAGGGACTTACTTGATCATAAAGCTCATCAGCCATTGTGGGTTTAGGAGCCGTTGTCCACTTGGCGCCACGGTGGAAGTAGTCTTTGATGACTGACCGGTATGCACGATATTCAAAGAAGCGTGCACGCCACGCCATGGGAGCCTCGATAATCTCATTTCCCACAACTATCAGGATGTCTCGAGGCATCGCACCATATAAACCTGTCAGACCAAAAAGTTCCAGGGCAACCTCAGTAATGGTCATTTCCAAGGCAGGAATGTCTATAGAAAATGATCCCATTTGGAAAAAAGTATTATGAAAAACTGTGTAGGAAAACATGGGGTGATACATACTCTACTGTTAACATGAATTCTACATGGAGGCATGAGGCCAAGTAATAAAAAGGAAAAGGAAACCCTAACTGAAGCATTAAGTTCAGAGAGGCCTTGAACCACTGTGTTTTCACCACTTGTAAGCTCCTTACTTGCTATATAGAAGCAGGTTCTTCATGGAGTATCAGTATCACAAGATAAAATTTGGGCCAAGGATCATTCTAGAACTATAAATTAGAACACTGAACTCAGACAGAAGAAGAGACTTGCAACAATGTAAGTTAAAAATAAAACGGGAATGTTTCTGTTCTCTTAATTTCCATTATTGAAGAAAACGAAATGGAATCCATTGTTTTCATGTAAAGAAATGATTATTAAGTTTAGGAAAGGCTGCTTACCTCAAGAAGATTCCAGATTCACAATGGTGTTTATAATGCATACTTCTTAATCATATTAAAAAGAACCAAACTTTTTAACTTTAAACAAACAACTAAACTCTTACATTTCTCAGAGTTGTAAGTTGTTCCTAAATAATCTTTGAAGTTTTGAAAGTTTATTAAGTCAAGAAAATCTGAGAAATTTTCAGAGCTCTCTTCTTATACAGTAGAAAAGAAATGTAAAATTAACTCAATGGCACTTAACAACAACAACAACAAGCAGCTTAGTATCAAATTATCACTTACCCGTAGACTCAAAATCAGGAGTTTTATACTTCAATGACCAGTCAATAGGGTCAGGTCTCCTTACTGTAACTCCTTCCATTTTAAGAATATTGCACATTTCTTCAATTTCAGCAACAGCCTTTTCCAAATGTTCTTTGGGAAAATAATGGCCTCCATGTCTCTGGTAAAATGGCCAGTGCTTTTCATATGTGTTAGCCTAGAGGCAGAAGAAAGTAAATGAAATACTTAATGGGAGAAACAAATGATGTGTGAAGGTTCAGAGGTGGTGGAAATTTGTATTTGTTGTTCTTGTTAGGTGCCATCGAGTTGGTACCGACTCATAGTGATCTTATGCATAGCAGAATGAAACATTTCCCGATTCTGGGCCAGCCTCACTACTGTTGCCACGCTTGAGTCCGTCGATGCTAACTGAGACAAGGACAAGGTCTTGCTCAGAGTTGATCCACAGCACTAAGCATGCTGCCATTTTGGGTCGATAACTTATGTTGAATGAACCCATTAAACCAAACCCACTATCATTGAGTTGATTCCGACTCATAGAGACTCTATACTCATAGAGAGTCTTGTAAAGACTAAATCTTTACAAGAACAGACAGCCTCATCTTTCCTTTTTGGAGCACCTGGGGGCTTTGAACCATTAACCTGTGGTGAACAGCTTAACAATGACCAACCTAGGGCTCCTTACTGTCTATAAAACCTGAAATATTTTCTATTTGACCCTATACAGAAGCATTTATTTAACTAATCTCTGTTCTCAGCCATTAGTTGTTTTACTTTTGAAGATCTATAGGCAAGCAGCAGGCTTAATTTCTGATCCATGAAAAATGTTATCAGCATTAAATATTGAGAATTTTTAAAAGCTCAATCTACCCTTAAAAAAAAAAAAAGAAAACAACAAAAAAAAGGTTGATTCCTGTTTTCTACTCTTAGGAAGTCCTGCAGCAGTGACCAGAAAAAGGATAATAATGACTCTTTATATTCCTCTCAGACACATCCTGGTACTACGCATCCATTCACCACTCCCTCCTTTTAATGCCAGGCACATCTCTTACAATCCGCTAAAGGACAAGCAGCCTTTGAAAAGCTAACACTGGGGTTATAGCAGATGTGCAACTGTGTTGTACTGCCTGAAACATTCCAAAGTATCCTGCATGACTGTTTACAGCAAAGCTTGCCTTGATAAAGATAAACTTTCCTGGGAGAAGTAAAGTATTTAAACAAGTGTGAGTTTCTTTGTGTAGTCTATAACCTGACCAAGGTTGGACAAAGTCCAAACGATCAGGGCACAGCTACATTTTCCAAGAAGAGTTGGAAATTGTTTGCGGTTCTTTTATAACCCTGTTAAATCTGAGTTGGCAATATTTTATCTACTATCTTCAAGTAAAAGAATACAATATTGCATGTTTTAAAACATGATGTTTTTAATAACCTTCTACAAAGATGTGGTCTGCATTCCTAGAAACTTTACAGTCTTTTAAACCCTAAAATCCTTCAGGGGAATTTGCCAAATGAATTCTCAATATTGTTTTTGGAAGATTAAGGAATTTCAGTAAGAATTTTACTCCTTATTTATTCAGCTGTAAATGCCTTATCACATCAACTTTGATTAGTCTTTTATCAGATTCTTTATTGTAAAAAGACAAACACAAAATGTAACGCATGTACTTGACAACAAGTATTCATTGTGTTGCAAAATAAGAAAAACCACATCATTTTAAAAATCATGCTTCTTTACAAATACAT